GGGGAAGGGAGAGAGAGATAGAGATAGAGAGAGAGAGGGGGAGGGAGAGAGAGAGAGGGGGGAAGGGAGAGAGAGATAGAGATAGAGTGAGAGAGGGGGATGAGAGGAGGGGGGAGTAAGAGTAATTAGATTGCTCCTCCGTCGTTGTGCTTTTCATTACTCTTATAAACATACACACAAAATGCAGTCGAATCTGTCCAAGATGACTTCTCATTGATGATGAGAATATTGGTCTTCTTAGACAGGTGATCCTCTAGGTTATAATAGAACAAATTCAAAAAAGGGTGGGGGTTGAGTGGGAAGTGGTAGTTTGTACCAGTGATTGTCTTGGCCAAGTGGTTGTGAGAGCAGGTTTGATTGCAAGTTCTAATTGACCGTTACTGTGTCGTTGTGTTCCTCTTTCCTTGCCCTAAATGACCGTTATTGTGTCTGTGTGTTTCTCTTTTTTTTTTTTTTTTGCTCCAACCGTTATTGTGTTGTTGTGGTTTTCCTTTCTTACATCAAATGACCGTTATTGCGTCGATACGCTCTTCTTCTCTTACACCAAATGACCGTTAATGTCTCGATGGGCTTCTCGTCACTCTAACAAATACATACCTCCACCAGATATGCTTTCGTCTGCAACAACTGGCTCTCTCCCACTCGCGGTGACGGCAAGACCACCCGGCACATCCCCGTCCTTGACACATCACTCGCAGACGGCGGAAGTCTCTTCGACATCCTGTCCAAACGGAAGCTCTACAACGACCATCTTTGGCTGTCCGTCGCTAAGCGACCGACCTATAGCGTCTTCTCTCGAGTGCAGCGCTTCCTGTGTGCTGTAGCCCTGCTCTACCTCGCTATGATTACCAACGCGATGTTCTATCAGACAGAGCAGGAGGATGGGGGTAACAGCAGTAGCAGTGACGTGCAGAACTCTGGCCTGCAGATTGGAATCGTCAGAGTAACCTACAGGTCAGTCACATTAGATTGTTTAATGTTTGTTCAATTTTGTTTTTGGTTGTCTGATTGTTTGTCTGTTCATTTATTTGTTTTCCTTTGTCTTGGGTCCTTCTTTTTATTCTGAAGTAACGTCCATCTCCGATAGACCGAAACGCTATCGAGAATTTTTTTTCTCTTATATGCGTCTAAAGGTAGAACAATGTTTGATGCACTGAAAATATAAGGATGCCGTGTGGATGATGATAGTAACGATAGCTAAGAAAAGAAATGGGCTTGGCACTCGAATCTGCTGCTTCTGATTTCACTTCTTCTTCTCTGCTGTTTGTGTGCGTGTGTGTGCGCGCGTGTGTGTGTGTGCGTGTGTGTTCGTGTGTGGGTGTCTGTGTGTGTGTGTGTGTGTATGTGTGTGTGTGCGTGTGAGTATGTATGTCTGTATGCATGTATGTATGTATGTATGTATGTATGTATGTATGTATGTATGTATGTATGTATG